GAGTCGATGAGGCACTGGGAGCTACAGACAGCCGTCCGTTTGCTTCCGGATATAATCTAGTATCTACACGTGTCCCGGAGCAGCCGGAAACCCCCTTTATAGCCGTCCATTTTGGTTTCGAGTAAGCCAGAGAAAGAAAACAGTGGAAACCGGTCAAATGTCGCGGAAAAAGACGAAGGCGGCCAAGAAGTCGGTTGCTTCCTCCCCTTCTGGCAGAAAGGGAAGAGTTTTATCCTCCTACTACTCCTCGTCCTCCTCTTCTCATGGACCCCCTTCCTTACCATCCTCAGCACATGAATCCCCCGTCTTCCCCTCCGCTGCAGAGGGAGCCCCCGCATCCTCCTCCGCTGGCATCCAGAGATCCCCAACGGCCGCCAACAGGAGGGCAACCCGTAGCTCCCAGGGAACCCACGCCTCCCCCTCCGCCACCCATGGATCCCCCACCTTCCCCTCCGCAGCACAGGGAGCTCCCGGATCCTACTCCGCTGCCTCCTCCCCGAGAACCCCGGTCCGCCGTGGGGTGACGAGGAGTTCCACCACCGCCAACAGGAGTGTGGCCCCCTCCGCCGCCCAGGAATCCCTTGCCTCCCCTCCAGCCTTAAATGAATCCCTCGACTCCCCCTCTGCCGCACAAGAATCGCCCGCCTCCTCTTTTGCTACCCGGAGCGCCCCCGTCACCCGTAGTATGACCAGGAGCGCCACGATCGCCAACATGCGCGCGACCCGTAGCGCCAGCAAGGCCGGTGGGATTCGGCTGCTCGATGGCCTGACCAACGAGCAGCTCGAGAAACGGAAGGCCACTCCGGCGAAGAGGCACTCCAGTGATCGTCGGAAGGGGAAGGACAATACCACTGACGATAACCAGGAAAAGGATAAGCCCTCGGCCGGCGGCGCGGCTTCTGTCGATCCCTACACCATCTTCGTCGAGGCGAGGTCAGTGGCTATCGTTTCTTCTAAGGAAGTTTCGCTTGTTTCCTATGCTGAATCAGATAAACCGATCAAAGATTCATGAAATGGTGCCGTCTTCTTGTTTCTTTCCGTTCTAAAAGGTGGTTGATTTGATTTCTTGAACCTTGTTAAGATGCTTCTTTTCTGGCAAGAACTACGATCTTTAATGCATCTAAAGAGAACTCTTTTTTTTTTCCCCTTGGTTTTCTTAACTTTTATTCGCAATTTTGTTCTCGTTTAGCTTCTTTTTTCAGTTTTCTTAACAAAAGGAAAGAACTTTGGTTTTGAATTGGGATTTTTGGTGGGAGTCTATCTCTGCTCTAAGTTTCCTGTAAGGAAAAATATATGGTAATATTGATATACGGAGCAGAATATGCTATAGTGGACATGTTACAAGTAAGGCCGAAATAATTCAGATATTTATAGTCTAAGCTATCAAAACTGACTTATACTTCACTGTATAGGAATGATCTGTTTCTGTGCTTCATTGCAGACTCCATTTCTGTAAATTTTATTATCCTTAACACTATTTCAATATATTTATAGAAATGCGAAAGGAAATTTTCGCAGTTTTTTCGATTTATTCTCATAATTTTCATTGTTGCTTAGTTGTTCATTATGATGTGATCTGAACTGCATTATTCTCAATATCCATCTCGATGCTCACATTTGGTAGTCACATAGACGTCGTCTCTTTTCCTTGCTGATTACTTCCTTTTCACCAAAGCTATCTATGTGTGCCACCGTAGATGTTGGCCATTTTAACATGTACTAACAGTCACAGGATCCTGAGTTTATCCCAGATACCTGATTAGTTCAGTTCCACATGTTTGGTAGAAACAGTCATGCAAATTTGTGCAGAGAAAAATACTTTATTATGCAAAAGAACCAGTGACGGATTGTTCTTTGGTACATTTGTTTGATTATTACTGAAAGAACAAGCTTTTATGACTGTAGTCGTGACAGACCCAAACGAACGGAAAATTCGGGAACAGGATAACGTCATAATCCTATAGGTTTCGCATAAGAACACAAGGGCCAGAATCAGAACAAAATAATTTATACAGTATAACTATTGCATAATTTAGTTCATAATTAATCAACCCTTAGGATATTAATAACATAACTCAATCCATAATCATTCCACCTTTGGACATTCAATAGATTCAAAGACTCTTTAAAATTCAGAGTATTCCAATCCAAATAAAATATATACAAAATAATCTCAATGTACAATAATCTCAATAAATTAATTACATCATTAAATCAGTAATCAATCCATCACGCTTCTATTGTGCAACTAAAAAAAATTGAGGGATAATCATATGAGCAAATCACAGCCCAATAAGCAAACTTATCATAAATAAACATAAAAAAACAATGAATTTTTATGCATTTAACACATGTTTTCGAAATATGCACGGATATCAAATACTTTTTTCAATTTACATGCATTTCAAAATCATGACTTGTTATCATAAATTGCTTGAAGATTTTTCAGAACAAAATGCATGCATTTCAAATTATGAAAGGAAGATACATTTACATGTATTTTCATAATGAAAGCATAAGTATAGTTAATGTCACATATCAGAGCATAAAACATTGTAGTGCGAAAACTATCATTCATATAAATAGAACTAAAGGTTCATAAACATGAATAGATTTAAGGTGTACATGTCTGAACAAAAGTCACATTAGTCTCAATAGCTGTGACCAAGTTATGTTTAACCCTTATGGTATAGATAACACATCTGTCTGTGTTAGGGTCTAGAAGAAACTAGTTTCTGAAACATATTCCGATGTATAACCCTCACTGGTGGACCACATTTTTTTGGTTATTGCTGGAAAAGAAGCTTTTATAACTGTAATGAACTATTCGACATGCTGAGCTGAGACCTTGACAATCGAGTATCAATTGAATGTATCAGCAAGTATGTTTTGGTTGCTTGAAAGTTAGCTTTCCAGTGCATTGTTTGGACAAAAGTTTATAGAGTCCTGAGAAGCAGTAAACAGAGGATCTTAGTGGAAACTATATGGTGGTGATTGAATTAGCTTTAGAAGTAGCAGACTGAAAAAAGATATGGTTTTCTTAAACTCTACTAGTGCCTTTAGTGTATCCCATCCCAGTGGTCAGAAGCCTTTAACCTCAAATCCTATATGTAGATGCTACTTTTTTGACAACTTATGATTAACCACTGCAGGTATAATCCGTTTTAAGATCTTCTTTGAATAATTCTGGTGGTTACTTAGAAGGTGCTGTTTGGACACAGTCATGCAACACATTCCAATGATTGTTCTCACGTAACTGAATGTATTGGCATTCTGTTCAGATGTAAACTTGTCGAGTGATGGAAAATGTGAAGCATGATCAGTGTCTTCCCACATTATTGTAATGCTGAATGAAATGAGTACTATTTTTAGGCACAATTAGAGAAACATACTATCATGATATGTTAAGTATGGTTAATCTTTATGTTTCATACAGTCATTCCTTATTAAGCCTCTCATGTTCTTCATGCAGCAACCTAGATGGCAAGTTCCTGAAAGCAGCCAAAAATGTCACATCTGCTTTGAACTCCGCTTTTCCTTCAATATCTACAAAGGTGGTGGTCGAGGTACGTTTTTCACTTTATATTATTTTCTACCTATATTAGTTCTTCATAGCATTAGTCTATTATGTGCGAATTAAGTGATAGGAATGAACATAAAAATTTGTTGTCATTACCTGTGATATGCTGTGAGAGGAAACAAGAAATCATCATACAAGTAAATATTTTCATGACATAAGCTAAGGCACCAAAAATTGTTAATATGATGTTTCTGATAAACTATTAAGTAAATTAATGAACTACTTATGGGCTTCTTCTGATTATGTCTGTTGATAGTTAAAACAATAACACTGAAAAGTCTTTCCAAACAGGCAAACCCATCAAAAGCCTCAATATGTGCGAGTTCGTGTGTATAGACAAGTCGGAGAGAGGTAGCAAAATTAGAAGACTTGAACAAGGAGTGGTAGAGGATGGTAAAATATAAAAAAAAGAGAAAAAAGGAACGATTAATCTGGTCATGTAGAACTTATCCATTGGATCTCTTAATAGAAGGAAACTTCTTATGCACCATCTTTTACCTATGCCTTTCTCGAAGATTAATACCTATCAGTACCTATACCTTTGAATTGATAGCATTGATTATTTCAGTTAGCTATCGTTTCAAGTATTATCTTTTTATATATTTTCAGCCAAGAAAGGGATGCTTCAAGGTTCACGATGAAGAGGGTGAAATTTTTCTCCAATATCTGGTAATCCTTCTATGCAAACTCTAAAAAACTATTGATTTGTGCATTATATGTCAGCTGCACAAATGAAAGAATGGAGTTGTGCAGCCTAAATTTAGCTCTTGGTATCATGTCATGCAGGATTTAGAAGAACCATATTCTGAATTGGAGTCCATCGACATACCCAAAGCCGTCAAGGATGTTGGCAGGAAGATTGGTTGATCAAGAGGCAGAGATATTAACGTAGCTGCACCAAGATTCCTCTTTTGACGGCTAATTTTGCTAGCCTTTCAGTGGTTAGGAAGCATAGGACGGGAGAATACTTTTCTTCAACCCACACATTCAGATTTGTCGTCTTCTTTACTGGATCTCCTCGAAATGGCTTAGCCTTGTTCTTGTGACAGGCTCTGGACCATGTTCATCTTCCCACCATATTTCTTCTTAGCGAAAAAAGAACCTGTAACGTTAACAAATAGCTGTTTACTGTGTCGGTGAATTCTGATGAAAAGTTAACGATAGAAGATGTGCCTTATTCATTGGACACTTTCGTGGTACAGAATATGAAGCCACTGTGATTTCTTCTTAATTTGCCGCGTTCTTGCATGCTATCATAATTTGATGTTCCAAAGTGAGAGATTAGGGGAGGAAGTGAGATGGATTTACGTGAACTATGATGTGTTTATCCGGCAATAATAAGTGCATTCTCCTCTTCTTTTTGTTGTTTTGAGGGTGAATCGTCTCAGCAGATACCATCAAAACACAAAGATGGAAATCGTAGTAATAAAAGATCATTACGATACTCAAATGTCACTTGAGGAGAGCAACCGTTACATGATGATCCAATATGGCTCTGCTTGTCCTCTTATTTAGATATGTCACCATGCCCTCTCCCAAATATGATTGATTCTAAATGACGCTTACGAAGCAGGGCATGGCGTCTCCTTCCCACGTCTCTCAGTTACAGCCGCAGCAAGAACAGCTGCACTTGCCGCTGCACTTGCACTGGCTGCAGTTGCAGCCTCCTCCTTCGGACCCAGCTGCCATCTCGAACCCTTCAACGCTCCTGCAACAGTTGGTACGAGGAAATAGATTCATTTCAATGGGGTTATGATAGATCCTCCTCTTGTCTTTTTGTCTCTCTCTAGATAGAATTAGAGTAAGTTTGGGAATCACTCTGACCCTGTCATGGCACCAAGGTTGATGATGCTTGCGGTGGTGGTGCCACGCTCTCCGCCCAAGTCAGGGTACATACTGCACCTGCATCCAGAGAAGAGAAGAGAAATGTTTCGTGTCTCGTGATCTTTCGATTCATATGGTTTGAAGAAACATGGAGGAGGTGGTTCCTACCCTCCGCATCCACTGCCGCACTTGCAGCCAGAGGTACACCCGCAGTTGCCGCCGCAGCAAGACATCTTCTGAACTCCTCGGTCGAGTCTTGAGAGCTTCTCCTGCTGTGGCTTGAGATATGGTGGAGACGAAGAACTCCTATTTATAGCACCTCCTGAGGAGAGTTCGGTCAATTTACAGTCACTGTAGCCTCGACAACATCTTCATCCTTTTAGTCCCTTTCCAGCGTATACACATTGTAAGACCTCAGACTTAGATTCGATGAAACCGATACATATCTTGTGGTCGACAGTAACAATACATAAAGTGGAGTTAAGAGTAAATGAGCGGATGCTGAGAATATTATGGCAATGCACACTGGGAGGGGGGGGGGACTAATGCGGCATACAGATTAGAGATGAATCGTTGTCATTCATGTTCTTCCCTTGTGATAGGGTTTCAGCACTTCAAACATGAGCTTCTGCCGTTCAGCTTCCCAAAAGAAACTGAAACTGTAAAGAACGATTTTGTTTTGGTATTTCTGATTTGCTGAATAGCAAATTTAAGTCATTAGCTCTCATGATTTTTGTCCCTTCTTAAAGATATGTAAAGCACAGTCAGATGCTTCCTCTCTGATAGCACATAAGCTGAAAAGCTTTGATGAAATCTTGTATGATCATGGCCTGTCTTTTTTAATGATGAGAACCTTGAAGTGACACCACCATGAACAACATGAGATGGAACAACTCCTCCTCACCACCCATGCATGAATGATGGGAAAGGGACACTGAGAGCTACGAGGCTCTCCATCTGCCATTAAAGAACTTCTAGGTCAGGTCAAGGCACAAGCACCGAGGAGGAAGAAGATAAATTAAATGTATGTGACGGAAGAAACAGCAAGTAGGGCCCGGGAAGCTCAATGGATGGTCTAGTGCGAAAGAGAGAGACAGGAATCTCATCCTTCGTCGAGTCGTAGAGAAGGGGGCAACAAAGAATGGCTGAGGAGAGTTCGTCCCCCACATGGATGAAGCTTTTTCGGTCATCAAATGATGCTGCTCACCATTTCCAATCTAAGTGACGTCATATCCTGTCGAGGGTACCGTTCCCAACGGGCATACACGGTGGTGTAACATTGATGTATAATTCATTCATATCATCATCATCTCCATATCAATCAAACAGGGTGCAGCAAGCAGCATTAAGGGCATTCTGGTCTTTTCAGCCAAGCATCGAACGATAAAAGCCGCGGGGTTAGGGTTTCGGTGGGCATAGTCAGCCGTCGGCGAAGCACGTCTTACGGTGTGGTTGGGTTTTTCGTTTTCCTTTCTCGTCTTCTTTTATTCTTCTTGTTATCAGTCGTCCGGGGGGCGGTGATTAGAAAGAGAGAGGGCTGGAGTGGGGTTGGAGGGCCCCCGCGATCTGTTGTGGCGGCGACGGGGGTGGAGGTGGAGGGGGTGGAGGGGGGGAAGCTAAGGTGCCGCTGTATTGGCTTGGTATCTTTCCTCCTCCTCTTCCTCCTCCTTCTTCCCTTCCCCCTCGTTCCCGCCGTAGATCTCCGGGAGTCCGCCACGATGACGGCTTCTCCACCAAATACACTTGATATGAGCCCCGTGCTTGCTTTGTTTCGGTTCTTCTTTTTCTTGATTTTTTTTCCCCTTTCTTTTACGTTTCATGCGTGTGAGAAAACTAATCCCATATTGATTGATGGTGTTAGCTCTCCTCCATCTTGAATACTTGTGATCACCCACCCCTCCCCTTCTATTAGCATGTCACATCTACTGACTTCAATTTTTATGCGTAATTATATTGATCGATATCAGAAAGTAACATTTGGGTCATGTTTATAATGGTTTTCTTTAAACTGTGTCATTCACTCATGAAGGGGGAGTCAAGAATATTTTTAAGAATATAAATTAATAGATCATGTTTTATCTACTGATTTAAGTTTTTAATGTAATTATATTGATAAAAAATTAAGATCAATTTTCTCCTTTGAGGAGAAGGACAATTGATTCTAGCAGATCAACAGAGTTGGCAGATATGTTAACATCAAAGTAAAGGACATTATGCTTCTGTCAAAAGGTGGATGTGAGGATGATGTTTCTCCAGCCTCTTCCACTATGCTGGCCTCTTACTACTACCATCATGGCTGCAGCCACAACCATGAGAAACAAGTTTTCTTGGCCTCAGACAGAGATCATACAGGAGAAATGACAAGCATGAACAATCACAACTTTTCATGCATAAATTTATTCTGAAAAAAATTGTGTAGGGTAAATCTGATAACTGACTTTTGTACATGCATGTATGTGCTAATTATAAAAAAAAAAAACAGCTGGTAGATCCAAATTTAAATGAGTATACCAAATAAGAGACTAGTAGAATGGAGTGAGTGTTGCTTGCTAACTGCACAGCTGATAACACAGGTCATCCATAGATTGAGTTGCATTTATGAATATTCGGCTCCTCCCACTGTCTTGGCAGGTTATGTTCCATTGGTTACCACTTTCGAAAACCTGCAACAAGAAGACATATATGAGAATTGTCAAGTGAATGAAAACACAGATTTCTGTCATTAGGTTGTGGATGTGTCCAATTGTCCCACAATGTGGCCCTTGGAATGATAACAGTGGTAACCGGATCAACCTATTCTCACTAAGTTAATAAACAGAGCTTCGGCTGTCTTTAGGTTTTAGATTACATTCATGTGCAGAATTTACCCCTGAGCTCAATCAACTAAAGGAAGTATGCTTTGCAGATTCATTTGCCCCTGTCAATGTATACTATGCTTGTCCAAAATGGCATCTGCCAAATTGTGGTGCTGACCAAAAGTCCAAGGAGCCATAGCCTACTAACTGATTTAAGAGACAATCTTTGACTTCAACATGGAACCAGATACCATCAACATTCTTCTAAATAAGATGGGCATAATAAGACACCCTACCTGGCATGATTCTGTTCCTTGTTTGCAGCTCCATTTTGAAGTGGGTACGCAGCTTAGATAATGGCACCATGAGCAGTGATCATTTCCATTGAACCCTCTGAACAGCAAAATCAGAGATACAGTCAACCTGCAGATATTGTACAGCTTATTAGAAAACAGTGAATAAATGGACAGATTCTTTGAATAGGAATTTAGTTTACTGATAAAGCCATTAAACTGGATGGATTATCTTTGGGCACATATATGTTAGATATAGACAATAACTAATTTGAATCAAAACATACAGAACACAAAGAACAGCATAACAGCAGAGAAGATGGATTTCTGATTGTCTTCTTTGCCGTTTTCCCAATGATGCAACAGGTAGACATAATAACGTGCACAAAAGTTTTGCAGAATATTAGTGAAAGGAATGGACTCCAGGCTTGACTGTAAAAACATGTTTCGGATAGTTACCCGACAATTAATAAGATGGCACTAGCAACCCATAGCACATATTGGTATATCATGTGTTTGTTCTTTGCTGGGCCATTATATCCGAGAGGATTGTACTTTTGGCTTCTATATCCATATTGTGGGCGGATTAGAAGGACAAATCCAAGAAGGAACCCTGTAATGAATCCTCCTATGTGAGCAAAGTTGTCGATGTGGGGGAGGATTCCGAGACCCAAGTTAATCGAAACTATCAGGATGAGAGATATCAATGCGGCAAACTGACATAAACAAAGGCTTATTAGATAATTGGTTGTAATAAGGCAAGAAATTAAGATCAAATGAACGTCCTTACTCTCATGCATTGCAACATTTTTAGATACCTTATTAGCATAAATTGTCCAATTTGTTATAAGTTCTGAAAGCATGGCTCCAAGCAACCCAAAAAGAGCACCAGAAGCACCAACAGAGACACTTGCTTGGACAAAAAGAGCAGACAACAAGCTTCCACCAACTCCGGCGATGACATATAGCGGGCCAATTCTCACTGTCAAAGAAGTATTAATTTGGTTCTCAGAGGATGCATCATCATTCAAGTGATTCAAAACACAGTAGAACAGACAAACAAAACAGTATAATGCTTTATGTGGTCAAAAGACCAAAAGATCAGTTATGATAAAAATCTCCTGGCATATACTTAATCAGCTACCACAGGGTATGATGCTAGAACAAAAGATGAATCCAACATAAACATGTTTTAATTTCTGCTAACATTTATAGCCTCACATTTCAAAGAAAGTGAACTCCACATGTGTTAGGTAAATTTACCTGTTGCAAACAGCTAAAGGGGATGATACAACTGGCTGTTGCTGCTAATCAAGATATCACCATACTATGTGTTAGTAAGAGCTTGTAAAGGAGGCTGATTACTTTAACACTTACTAGTCCCAACCTTGTCATGCACCAGGCATGAGGCTCTTACGGTTAGTTCAACTGAAACCTTTACTTGCAACTGTTAAAATTGATAGTACATAATTACCAGAAGTAGATAAGAAAATTGTGATTTACCTATATCATTGTGGTGTTATAAAATACAGGATCAGATGTGTGATCGACAACTCAAATATGTCTGAGATGCTGGAAGGCCAATCCCAGAACCAGAAACCAAAATATTTGAGGTTTTCTATGCAACCATTTGGTGAACACTGCCATGTCAATCCTACTCTTAGATGATAAGTGCGCACTTGATAATATCAACCGCTAAATATACAAGGACGACATATGGTAGGGGCAACAGAATTGCTTATCTTTCAGGGATATATTACCATTTGTGCCTCTTGAGCATAAAGTATAAACTATAAACCTGAGTTACTGCAATTCATTAGTTAATTAAGTTCTGCAGCAGCAGGCAACAAGGTATAACACTATAACTAGGATGACTAGAAAAAGCCATGAATGATAAAACATTAGTTAATGCTACTCCAGTGTCCACTTGCAACAAATGTTGATTCTGAGATAACAATCATGATAAGTGCTTATAAAAATGATCCACAATCTGAATTAACAATAATTCCAATGTATGGTTTCGTAGCATACCGAATCCAAATTCTTGTTCGAGTCTAATTCCAATCAATAGGAGGCACAACATATTAGCTAGTAGATGGATGACTCCACCGTGTAGCCAAATGCAGCTAATGAGACGCCATCCTTGGTGACCATGAACTACTTTGTCAACTACTAGGCCTCCCATCTTTTGTAACCTGCATCATTGGAAACAGATGATGTCACTAAAACTGTATCGATGGAGGAACATCAACACATACCAGGAAATATCAAAGGCGATCCACTGATATAAATATACTCAATATTTCTCAAATTAACATATGAAGTAAAACATGGCATGAGCATTACAATTATTCATTTTCAGTTTAACAGGAAAGTAACTTAAAACGACAATGCCACCTAAAAGGACGAAACATAAAGAAATGGGTATAATCACACTAGATATGCATTAATCAGCTAAAAGGAAGTGCCTCAGGATGCAGAGAAAATAAGCGTTCTGTATAAAGTGAAGAAGGAAGATGGAAACAGTATAACAAGAATGTGAAATCATGATGAAATGCGAGAAAAGCTTGCAGGAAAAGGATGAAACATAACACACTGACATCAAGCACAGCAACAATTCACCAACAAAAACCCTTCGCATCTACCACCATCATCTGGAAAGCGGATTCCAGACCACATAATAAATCTAAATAAACAAAACCATGTAAATTTGTTCAGCGAAATAAAACGCTAAAAAGGGAGCGGAGATGGGGGATTGACGTTTTGGCAGAAGGGCCGAGGAGGGGGTTCTGCTTGAGGGGCTCGAAGGAGAACCGGCCGAGCGAAGGGAGGACGCAGGAGCGGACGGAGTTGTTCTTGCGGCAGTCGTTGACGTACATCGTGATCACGAACATCGCCACGTTCGCCACGAAGATCGTGGGCACCAGCCACGGCCGCCACCGCTCGTCCCGCTGCCGCTGCGGCGGCTTCGCCCGCGCGGTAGGCGGAGCCGCCACCGGGTGCGGGGGATCGATTTCGTGCTGGTGGGCGTCGCCGCCGTCCCCCCGCCACGGCTGCAACTTGGCCTCATCCTCCCTCGCCGCCGCGGATGCGCTCTCCTTTCCCATTCCCTCCCCGACCAAGAAGTGGTTGCGGTTGAGAGTCGAAGAACAGGATTAGAAGACTTGGTGGGAAGAGAGAGAGAGCAGGAAGAGCACCGAGACCCTCTCAAAGTCAACCGGGGGTGGTTGTGGCTGTCGTCGTCATCAGGCTCTCAAGCAACGTAACCGGACTCGATCAAATCAGCTCAACATCTTCTACCAACTCGCCGCCTTGTTTGAAGTACTGTCCGTTATATATATATATAAGCAACAATTACCCATCGCCAATATACCAAAAGGACACGTGGCTCGATTTCAAATAATCATTGTGATTCGGTCGATGCTCTCCTCGGTGATTATAATAATCCTTCGCTTAATGACATAGTTTTGGTCAAGAAAATTAAACCTTTTAACATCTAGACTTTGTCGTGCGATCGATGACCATACGTACGGCGCACAGTCAAACACGTGTACAGCTTGCTTTAACGCGGAATTGGCAGATTTGGGCCAACATGGGCCAAAAGAGAATCGTTAATGGGCCAATGTGGACCAATATGAATCGTGATTTGGTATTTGATACGACATCCGTTCCAGTTAATTATTAGGTTAAAGCACTATTTCACCAATGGCGAAATGACACGTTACGGCAATAAGGATTACTCCGCTGGTCATTACTCCCCATCGCAAGACCTGCGGTCAAGTAGAATCTCCCAGCCCTGACGGGACCAGCCAAAGCAAACCCTAAGCGTTCCTTGCGTTCTTCCGGAGATCCGATCGAAGCGTAGGCTCCTCGCTTGGCAAGCAGCGATCGGATTCGAACATGAAGAAGGTCAAATCAACCAAGCAGCGGCAGCAGAACGGGCACGCCCTCCCCTCTAAATTCGCTAAATTGCTTGATCCCGAGGCTTCTTGGGATAAGGTAAGCACGCGTCCATCCCGTGGGGTGGTTGTGTTCTTACTTCGGTAACTAAACAAGTCGCGCCAGATTTAGGACTTCTGTTCGGTCGAATTTGATATCTTCTTCTTCCTCTGCGAGGCGCGTAGATTCGATCTGTTGTCAATGTGAATCTAGCGTGATTTCTGTAAGCTTCTTGTTGTTGTAGGATCAACTGGGGGATGTTCTGCACTGGATCCGGCAGGGGTTGGGCCTCGCGTGTGGACTGTTGTGGGGCGCCATTCCCTTGGTCGGTGCTATCTGGATTGCTTTGTAAGTTCCGCGGCTCACCACCCCAGATGTCATATTAGAGATGGACCGTTTTAGTGATTTGTTCCAAAGAGTATTTCTTTCATCGGTTAATTTATCAAATAGTTTGTATCCGATACCTAATTTTGGTAGCTTCGAAAATAGTGATTCGTATACCGCCACCAAAGTTCGATATGGTATGTTACTCTGATGAAAAACTGAATTTTCAGTTGATATGCAGTAGGGAGGGTACGATTTTATGAGAGACATAATTCTGTATTGTATGGATAGTCAACCAGCAGTGGATTAGCTTGTTCATTGATTAGTCAGGTTTAATCTAAAGCATGTTTGATATATTCAAGATGTTTATTAGTTCTAGCAAGAAGCTACGATTCATTCATCCATGTTCTGAAGCAGAAACTATGCATTTTTTATTTAACATATTTTAGTTTTTGTACTTGTTAATGAGTTATTAGCAGGTTTAGTTACTCTTTCTACTGAGATTTTTTATTGACATTTTATGAGATACTTTCAAACATATAAGAAAAAAAAATTACAATGCTGTGTCTCATTGTTCCTAGCTAGGCAATTATGTGATGACTGGTCTGCCACAAAGAAATGGCAACTGTACAATCTTGCCTTTCTGTATACTTGTTGCTTCTTCAAGTCACCTTTTTGTGCTTGCCATGCTTCATCAATTGATTATGCTAATTTATAAGGCATAAATACTTTTAGTTTCTTGTCACATAACTGATTAGATGCATGCAAGATACTTTTGGGGTATGTATTAGATGCATGAAAGATACATTTGAAGTAACTAGTTTTTTAGTCATCGTTAAAGAGATCAGATGTTTTAGGAACTTAGAGGAAACTTCATGGATACTTCTTTGTATTTCTAGTTCTTGTGAGAATGTGTTCTTACTTGAGAATCCATTTTTTTTATTATAGACATTCATGTGTGATTGAATAAATTGTTCATATGTTGTTTGCATTTGGTGTCAATTATTGATGAAATCATTATCTGATTAATTTATGATAAGTTTTGCTATCTTCTCTATGTTTTTGGCATAATATATAAGTAGAAATAATAGGTTAAAGATGTTAGTTTAATTACTAAGTAGTTATATGAACTATACTATATTACTACTTACTATAGCACTTTAGACGTGTCAAACTTTGTCATATATAATATTATATATTCAAAATATGTTTATTGCTGCATCCATTTCATTTCATATCCTTTCTTTTTCCAAGATTTAGTGTATGGGCGGGCATATCTATGTTGTGTGTTTGATTGGTGTGTTGTCTGGTATTCACACTTCATAGGTGCTAATACCACTTATCCTAATTCAAAACCTTTTTTGCTCAATCACTTCGCCTATCTATTCCAAGAATCATGGCCTGTTCTTTTCAAGGGTTGATGCGTTAGAGTATCCACATAGTATTTTATTGATATCCCGAATCTGTATTCATGCTTCTTCGCAACTAATTTCCTGTATCATTGTTTACCCAAATCAAACTCTCTTCCTTTCTAGTGCTAGCTTGAAGTTGGGGTTTCTATCCCAATCCCATCACCTATCTACTCAAAGACCTTCATATAGGAAAGTTTGCTGCTTACAGGATGCAATGATGCAGTGTTAGGTAAGACCCACCAGTTTGGCATTGACTCTGATGTGGGCCTTGGAGTGTTTTGTATCACAATCTAGAATGGTGGTGTCATATCATAAGGCTGTGACATCCTTCAGATACTTTAAGCTGCAATGATAATGATTGTTCTCTTAATTTACTACTCTTTATTATATAGTTGATTTATTATTTTATTGAAGTGGTTGTACCAGCCTAGTTGTGACAACGTTTTTATTCAAAGAGTGAGTTCTCTAATAAATAATTAGCAATCTCATCTCCTAGCTTTTGTTCATATTTCTCTTTTTATTGTATAATACAAATCTGTTATGAACCTTGCATATGTCATCAATTACCTGACTTATAAATAGTGGAACTATAAGAAGGGAATGCTATACATATTTCCACTACTGCTCTTTAGAATTTTATTTCATTAGGCACTGAAATTTAGAGATCAAGATTTGTTCTAATATCTTGATCAAATGACAGATCAGTATAAAATATTCAAATAGCTAATATTTGATGCTAACAGTTAATTTTCTATTTAGTAGTCCAGAACTATCCGTATATTGTTTCTGTTTGGGCTTTTTTATTAGGAGGCATTGCTCTTTTTTCAGGGATTGTTAGTCCCCTAATCATGCGTTGTATGTCCAGTACATGGAGGTCAATTGTGAATTCTTCCTGGTCCTAATATTTATCTTGTTTTAGTTGTGCTTTAGATCTTCTTATAGTATTAATTCAACTTCTGCAAGGAAGGGTTTCTCAGTATCCGGATAAAATTGTTCGAAGATGCTTCCATTATCTTGATGTGTATATATAACAACCAGATGATTCTACAAGATATATACAATTTTCATATTACTGCTCTGTGGTAATTAACTGATATAAGCAGTCGAAACATATTCATGTAATATTGTCCATAAAATGTGGATTCTCTGTTGCTTTCTTAAGCTCTGGCATGCATGAGAGGAAGTTGTAGATTTGTGCTGCAGCTACTAGTCATTCTTTGCACTTGCAACAACACAGACAACATAGCAGCCATAATGTCCCACGTTTTTGGGTATTAGTCATACTTCGTACTTGTTTACTTATTTTGTGGATTCTTTTTCTTGGATCTGGCAGTGGGATCTAAATTCCAGGTTAGGGTTGTTGTTTCTGTATCTGATGTATGTATGTTTGTTCTAACTATTATTATATTATTTGTTCTGCTGGTTGAAGTTCCTGCAGTTTGCTAATATTATATGCTTTGATTTGAAAAATCTCTAGTTATACAGTTTAGAATATAGGAAAGAAAAATTTTGTTACAAAGAATCACAAAAGCAGTATGAAAAATAAATGATTCATCATGGTCACATAATATGGTGAAGAGTTGACTTTTCTCTTGATATGGCTATGTTTTCCTATTATGAACATAAAGAAGAGAAATGAAAATTATCAGTAGGCAGAAATAACAAATTATCCGTTATTTTTTCTCTTTCATTTTCAGTATCTCTTATGACAATTTTTTTTCTGTCACTATCTACAGATTTTTGCTGCTATCTTCTGGTATTATATATGGGTATTATACATATGTGCTGAAAATCGATGAAGAAGATTTTGGAGGTCATGGAGCGTTACTTCAGGAGGGGCTTTTTGCTTCATTCAGCCTGTTTCTGGTATAATTTCTTGATCTTGCGTTTGTCATTTCTATTCAAGAATCACAATTACACCCATTGCTAGGTTTCCATGTTATAGTTCTAAGATGGCCACAGTTCATGCGACAACTAGATTGCGCAGGACAGCCATTCTTGGCATCATAACTAATGCCTTGTTAAATTTAGCTTGATCATAAGAAAGGCCTTATTGGATGCAGCTCGCTTGGATTCTGGTATACAGTTTGGCACACTTTTGAATAGTTAGAGTGTAATTCCAATTTTATCTGGAACCTGGATACGAAACTGCTGAGCTACATGGAGCCCCGCCATTTGGCCTTAAAATTAATTAGGAAAAAGCAGCAGATTTATTGATTGGAGGTGTTCTCTGTGATTTGTTTTATTTTCCACCAGAATGGATGGAGAAACAGTACGTGTAACTGCAGCATTTGGTTTTATAGTACACTTTCAGTACCACGGGGTTCCTGTTATTTTTCATCTTCCAATCTTAGACACTGACATTTCAAGCAGTAATAAGGTTGCAGATTTTTCTTATATCGTAGGGGATTCTCTCATGACACATCAACGAAAACAATTTGCAAGTTAAATTCTTAGCATTATGAGGTCATTGTTGCTAATCTTCCTTAAATTGGATGAAGGATTCTGTGTTGCCATTGGCTTTTTTTTTCCTCTCAAAAAGTTGGGAATTTTGGTCTGTTGGTGTTTTATTTTTTTGTGATGTGGAAGTCTTATACGGTGTTTATGCTTTTTTTTTTCTCTCTCCCTTGGTGGGGGTGGAGAGAGAGAGAGAGAGGGGAAGTGGTAGCAAAGGAGACAAAAAAGGGAGAAGGCGATGGGGAAGCCGGGATGGTAGTCCAAACAGAGACGAGGGGAGGTAGCGAAGAGAAAGTTGCTACAAATGAAAATGAGAAAACCGATCGGCAGTGATGGATACAGGCAGCGGCGAACATGAAGCGAGGAGCATGAGAGATCATGGAATTAGGCATTAGGGTTTAAGAGGCTCGTCGTCCAATCTCCACTGTTCCAGAATTGGCAGTCTTGGTTTTGCCAAATTTGGAATGAGAATTTGACCGGTTTCAAGTCATTTCAATTTCCATTTTGAAATACCGTGATTCCGATTTCATAACCCTATGATCCTGTTCCGGTTTCATCCAGAATCGTGATCATGAAACCATCATGATGTTGTTTCCAGTTCGATCTCAATTCGTTGAACCAGATTTGGTTCTGACGTATCAAAACCGAATCAAATCAGATCAGGACTAAACCCAGTTATCGACACAGACAATCCGGTAAATATCGATCAGCACATATTGAACCAAGTAAAAAATTAAATTTCTTGGTTTTGCCGATAAGTTTATTGATGCAAATATCGATACCCTATATTTGATCGTGACACGATGGAACACGAGAAGAAAAGATGGGCTGCGTCCACAACAACAAAGCTCAACGCTAAACTGGTTCTAAGATACAGGGTTACAGCAAGAAAGCAGATTGGCACTCACCAAGTGAAGAACAAACAACAGAATCTCAAGGAACAAAACATCAGCAAGGTGGAATGTGAAAAATGCAAATGTATGTCACAGAGTGCTAACCCCTGTTACCAGATTTCGGTGGTCTTAGAAGATTCCAGTCCAGCTTTTCACGTTTCTGCTGCTTATAAGAAGCTCTCCTATCATTACTGATCCACGGTTGCCCACCGACCTCACTTGCACTTTTCGGCAACTTCTGAGTTGTTTTGTCAGTCTCTGATTCTGGTTGCTTCCTCTTGAGGTCTAGGTCAGAAACATTTTTTGAACTACCTGTTCGCGAGTCTGTTGCAGCGGAGGCTTCGTCCATTCTGCATTAATAACAGCTAAAGTTCTCAGAATGTATGCACAGGAAGCCAAGACTGAAACAACACAGCCAGAAAGAAAATAACTCGATATAAGATACCATGATTTCCTAAGAGATCCATTATATCAGTAAGTAGTCTACAAATACAATAACGCAGGTCAAAAAATATTGGTACTAAGTACATACATGGAACCTCCTCATTCGTTCAATGTATCAAGTTGAATGTATATTAATGAGAAACTCTAGATGCTACTTGGACTAATTGAATTGTCAATTAACAATCAATTGAGTAATTAATGCTCCCCAGCATGTAAGCATTTTGTCAAATTAACTTGATGCCAAGGTGTGTCAATACGTTGCAAACAAACATGATAGCAAATATATTAATGGTCAACCATTATCCGATAGATAATTGTCACATGGAAGCTATCATGGAAGGAAAAGGTTCAGGTCACCTTCCACCCGTCTGCCCACATGGACAAAAGTCCAAAGCATGTCGTTCGGGATTGTCTCCCTTCTATTGCTCACATGGAGCAAACGCTAACAGGGGGACGTTGGGGCGGTTACAGATTGTCCCCTCCAAGATCAAATATAAAAGTTAATCTCTGGTGCTACGCCAAAGGATTCTCTTTCCAAGAAAAAACCCACACCCACTAAGAGACCTCGGTCATTAACTTCAACATCTGAAGGACCAGGTCGGAAAATTTCCCCTGATATCGGTCTTAGTGCAAGTGGCGCCTCGGGAGCTCAACACCTGTCCCTCGGAGACACCTCAACCACCACCTTGGACACTCCTACGCCCTCAGGTTTGGACCATGTCGGGTTAACTCATACGTCAACAACGATTTCCCCTAACACAACAGGAGGGCAAATCTCAAACTTTCTTTTATATTCTATCTTCACTCTACCTTGGTTATTTTAATTTAATCAAGGTCCATCCAAATTATGCATGTGTCACAAAGTTCATGGCAAAGGAATCTCGATTATAGAAATTCTATATATACTAAATTGAACAATGATGCAAACATGGTACAGGTCTCCAAATTCAAACTTTAACAAATAAGCTTAGGTAAGAATAAAAAATTAACCACCATGAACAAAATATGACAGTCAATCTCATGTTTCCAGTTTTCTTTTCTTTTTTTTTCCTCCTCACTCTCACTTGTTTTAGCTTCGGAGGCCCTGACAAGTTATGTGCCAGATATGTTCATGGTGCAAAGGACTAGCTATATATACATACGTACACACGCATACACATACACATACACAGAGGGAGATAGAAAGATCAACTTAGGTCTGTTTGGTTGCAGCATAAAAGGTGGAAAGTGATTTTTCACTGAAAATATATTCAAGTGGTTTGGTTCATAGGAAAAGGAAAACTATTTTTCTACTCTTCTTGTATTTAAAATAGAAGGAAAAAATAAATTACTATGTTTTTGAGAAGAGATCTTTAAAAATTAATTTAGAAAACATTTTTTTCAATTCTTTTTAGTTCCATCAAACAAACATTGGAGAAAAGATATTCCAAAGAAAGATAACTATGCATCATATAATTGACAGTGAACCAACTTAAGTGTCAGTGTAACCAATAAAACACTAAATGCAGAATTCAGATGTACTAAAAAGAAAGGACAAACACTGCACCTTTTAGAAATTCCACCATTATTTGAGGTACCAGATCTATTTTGCTGGTTATTTGCAGCCTCTTCATTTAGTTTCTGCAAGACAATCTTCTTTTAGGGGTGCCAAGAAAAGGATACAACTTTTTAAACAATTTTTCATGACTCACATCTATGGAAGGATTGAAACTCTGAAACGACATCCGACCTTTAAGGGCTGCTGGATGAGGATCCCCATCCATGATAACAACACTGCAGAGAGAGATGTGTAAACATAGAATAGAGAGGAGAATGGGTGAAAGAAACAACTGGCAGCTCAATCTCAAATAGTGAAGGCGGAAGGCAGAAGTGGCAACACATCCTAGGGAGGAGGGTAGCAATAGAATGAGGAGAAAACAAACACTTCATGAACACAACCGCAACAAGAAAATGTGAAAGTTAACTAGATTGAAAATGAAGGATCTTATAAAGCCCAAGGAGGCAAGAATGTTTTCTTCCCTAGTACACTTCAATACCAAGATTGTCTACACTGGGATGAGAAGCTGTTCAGTTACCTAGAAAAAAGAATCGGAAAGTAGTCCATCATTCCATAGAAACGTATATATCTATGGTCATGTTCTGCAGGAACATGATAAATACAATTTTCTCCAACTAATGTTGAAAAATAAATTAATTGAAGGTGCATCGAGAATCAACAAATTTTCCTCAAAAGCAAAAGCAAATGTCATGAAAAGAAATAATTGAAAATGATTCGATAGATCATTACAAGTTGGTGGCTAGCCAAGATTTTCAACAAAAACCTCATTTTAGCTCCCCAAAAACCCCTGAAATCTTGTTGATGGGGATAAAGAGATAATGCACATCAAATGTGAGATAGCTCAAAAGGCTTGAAAAGATCAAGAGTAGGATGATTAAGAATCTTATCGAAATCCACATCTGACTAGCAGCCATGATCCCAAGACATTCTTTTTTTTTCCATCTATAAACGAAGATAAACCTAATTGTAAGATCTCCTAGTAGGATATAGTGTCTCTTACAGAGTGCACTTGAAAAGCTACAAAGCAAATGTCCTGTCTCAGCGCTCTGAAAAATGCTGTCACCGAGTGCTTCTACAAAAAATACCATGAGCAACAGAATGTTCAATCATGTACCATGACCAACCGACCACCACCAAACCTACTTGCTAATACACCCTATGGACTTCAAACTGAAGACTCTATTCATCTGCATGCAATGCAATACTAGTAGCTTCATATACTTGTTTATATGGACACAATCTACCTTCTGATACCCCAATATTTCGATGCCCTTCCAAGCATTGACAAGACAATTTGCTATAAGAAGTGTTGATCGCTCTGCAAGGGAACTCCACATCAACTTTGCTTTCTACATAGCATGTCCGAAGCAAGCATGGCAGATAAAACCCGGAGAGAAGCATAAGTATACTTGTTTGGCAATTAATTGGTTCGAGATCAAACTCTAATGAGATCAATTTAAAGACACCGGTCCATTCCAGGAACAAGAGGGGCAAAACCCTAAAGATAAGCGGAGCGTACCATCTCCTGGCAGGGGAGGGGGGAGCGCCGAAGTCTGCCCCGGGCGTGACCTTCTCGACTTCCTTGGGCTTCTCATCCTTCTGGGCAGCCCTTTGCATGAACTGGAAACCGAGAAGAAAAGGTTACGTCAGTTTGGGGATAAGAGCTGAGAGAGAGAGA